AAGATTAGAATTCCAAGAAAGGTTAGTCCTCTTTGGTAGGTTGTTTAGGCAGAGCATTCATAATGAATCTAAGTTTGAAATGGACAGCAACTGCCTATTGTAGAAATTTACAGAACTTGACGACGAAAGGCGGAAGATTTTAGAAACGTCGTCCTTTACATTTGTAGTTTTCTACAACAGGCAGTTGCTGTCCATTTGAAACTTAGATTCATTATGAATACTCTGCCTAAACAACCTATCAAAGAGGACTAACCTTTCTTGGAATTCTAATCTTTATTTGGAAAAACAAAGAGGTTTCGTTAACACTATAATGGTTACAAATATGCATGCATTTGAAACTTTGATTTTTTTAATTGGTATACTTAACTGTTTTGATTATAGAACATCGTAAGAAAATTGTTCTTATCTTTATTATAAAATAAACGTTAAGTCCGATATCTTAAGGTTCGTATCCATAATTATCCTAGGAAACTGAACTGACGCGAAATCATTTAAAGTTTAACATAATAATATTTGAGCAGTTTTGTTTGTTTTAGCGCAAAGATTTACGATAGACTGTCTCCACTAGGTCTCACCGGTGGTATACCCAAGGGCTTAAAAACTAAAGTTTAGGGTTTTATCCTCGCGACAGGCAGTTCAGATATTCCACTGAGTTGCTTTGCGTTAAAACAAATAAAACTTAAAGATAAGAAGATAAAACAGTTAAAATCCGATGTATAAACGATAAGTTTGTTTGTTTGTAGTTAGGCATCGATTTACACAAAGTGCTATCTGTGGTGTGCTCACCACGGATATCGAAACCGGGTTTCTAGCGTTATAAGTCCGTAGACTTGCCGCTGCGCCACTGGGAGGCTTACAAACGATACACACAAACCCTAGCTCCTTTCAACCAGTTAAAAATTCTGTAAAGGACAAAATATATGTTTGCATTTTAAATCCGCTTTGTGAGAATGACGAACAGATCATCGTACATATCATTGTATTTATTGTATGTAATCAAAAGTATTATAGGGCTGTGTAGTTACTAAAGGTAAGTGTAGTATATGAGTCGACTTGTACAGATCAAGAAAATTTCGATTTGTCGTTATTTTACGTATTGAATTTTGTAGCTTATTATTTGTGTCTGAACATGACTAATGGCTATATATATAATTTGATTTGCAGAATAACTTACGCATGTTTAATTTAAGTTTCTAGGTACTTAGGACTCGTAAACATTATCAATAAAGGTTATATGGCCTCGTAAACATCATCAATAAAGGTTATAAGGACTCGTAAACATTATCAATAAAGGTTATAAGGACTCGTAAACATCATCAATAAAGGTAATAAGGACTCGTAAACATTATTAATAAAGGTTGTATGGCCTTGTAAACATTATCAATAAAGGTTATATGGCCTAGTAAACATTATCAATAAAGGTTGTATGTCCTTGTAAACATTATCAATAAAGGTTATATGGCCTTGTAAACATTATCAATAAAGGTTATAAGGACTCGTAAACATTATCAATAAAGGTTGTATGGCCTTGTAAACATTATCAATAAAGGTTATATGGCCTCGTAAACATTATCAATAAAGGTTATATGGCCTCGTAAACATTATCAATAAAGGTTATTGTACTCGTAAACATTATCCATAAAGGTTATTGTACTCGTAAACATTATCCATAAAGGTTATAAGGACTCGTAAACATCATCAATAAAGGTTATAAGGACTCGTAAACATTATCAAAAAAGGTTGTATGGCCTTGTAAACATTATCAATAAAGGTTATATGGCCTCGTAAACATTATCAATAAAGGTTATATGGCCTCGTAAATACTATCAATAAAGGTTATAAGGACTCATAAACATTATCAATTTCAAGAAGAATCAGAGCTAAGGCTATCACATCACTCCTTCATGTTTTATTTTTGAAATCCTACCAAAGATTATGAAGTCATTATCCAAGTTGTCCAAGGTGACTCAATACCAGCGATAAACACAGTATAGATTGTACAGTGTGTAGTTTTACACTTAAAAACAAACAAAATTATCAATAGTATCAAGGCTGTGATTCTTTGATCTTAAGCACGAAAATCACTCGAATCCTACTTAATTTTTTAAATTTAGAATATGTTACGATACACACACACACATGTGTATCTACACACTCTCTCACATACACACATATATATGTATATATATAATGTTGATTGACATCAAGGTTATTTTAACCAACACACACACATATATATGTATATATATGTATAACGTTGATTGACATCAAGGTTATTTTAACCAAGGAATAAACACACACACATATATATGTATATATATAATGTTGATTGACATCAAGGTTATTTTAACCAACACACACACATATATATGTATATATATGTATAACGTTGATTGACATCAAGGTTATTTTAACCAAGGAACACACACACACATATATATATATATATATATATAATGTTGATTGACATCAAGGTTATTTTAACCAAGGAATAATTATTTTATAAACTTGTAATTTAATGAACGAAAATACAATGTGGGCCCTAGTGTTCAGAAAATCGTGAACCCGAATGTTCTATAAATGTCTTTTATATAAGATTATATGGTCGTTTCATCAGCGAAACATAATAAGTTCACACCTGTTGAAACGATGTATAGGGCGTAATTGTTTATGAAAAACAAAATACGCACTTCGTGAATATAACTGTAATTAATGATAAACCAGGCCCTACTATTCCGCATCTGAAGTTTTGAATTCACTAAAAATGAGAACTTTAAAGTGTCCCGGATAACATCTCCGTCACCGTTTTTTAAACCTGTTCTTTGAAGGTGATGTTTATTCAGTTGTTCAGTTGATAAGTCCATTTTAATGACCACATATACCCTGGTACCATGTGTTACGGAGATATCGTCACATGTAATGCGTTAATATAAATGTTTTTAAGTAAGATTGTTCGTTAATAAATTAGGAAAATGTGTAAATAAAAACTTGAATCTCTGTGAACTTGTCAATAAATCAATGTTGACTAGCTAGCATTTCATTAAATGTTTTACACGTGTTTGTTATTTCAAAAGTCTAGAGTGGCAGTGCATGACTAAACCCCTAGTTTATTGAAACTAAAACAAATGAGGTAATGTATTTCTTTTCGTCTTTGCTTTTTCGTTGTAAGGCATACACACCTAAACATATACATATATATGTCTGTGTATAATGAAATAAACTAAACGTAAATCCAACTTTCAAGTTTGAAGTGTCTATTCTTTCAATGAATGATCACAATTTGTTACATCACCACCAAGTAGCCGCTTCAAAAAATATCTCACTAAAAAAAAAAACATGTTGATATAATTATTTAATTGACCTCGCGTTGACGTAATGCACGAAATAAGCGGCATTGTACAATAATATAATTAAATCAAATCGCATTACAGTATTAATAATTTTATAACCTGTTACGTTATTGTTTCCTAATTTGTTTGTATGCTTAGTTTAGAGAATGGAAGTTAGAATTAACTCCGGATAACAGGTACATTTTAAACTATACTCAATTTCTTCCGATAAAAGTGGTGATCGGGGGACGTTAAACAAGCTCTATTATAGCATAATTTCATATAAAGCAGCTCAAAGCATCCAAAAATTACAGTGAACGTTTCCCAACCTCAAATTCTTAAACAACAATCAGAAAATGTTGGCCATCTCGTAAAGGACTGGGCGTGCGTGGCCTAGTGGTTAGCCAGTTGGGCTGAATTTTGGAAAGTCCAAATTTCGAGACCGTTATTTCGTTACAAAATTGGGTGATGCTGACTGGTTGCCATCTTTCTGAAAAGTAGTTTTAAATAAGGATCGGCTGAACCGTGGGGTCTCTACTCTGGTTCTTCAGCACGTGTGTTGTTTAAAGGGCCATTAAGGTCGTAAATATCAAACAGTTTCTGGTTGCACACTGGTAACTTCTAGAAGGTTTCCAACATACTTGAATTCTTTATGGTGATCAGCTGACTGTGCAAGTTTATTATTGTCCTGGATAGGTTAATTAGAACCGCTTTAAGCTTAAGGGATTCTTGAGTGATACGTGATGTTTTTATCGCCCTCATCTGTGAATCACCTTTATTTGATGTGTGATAAAAACACAATTCTGCACAGTTTGAATTATAAAAGTTATTTGTGTTTCCTTGCAACTTTTACTGAAATATAAAAATCATAGAAAATTTAGCTAATATCCAAAACACATGTCACTGTTTAAAGGCCACACTTATCAACAAATGAGTTTACACTCTCCTCTCATGAAATTTCCGGTATGAAAAATGTTCATTAAAACAAAATTCAAATTCAAGTAATTCCCGAAATGTGTTTACTAGCCTTCAGGGAGTTGAAAATTGTTGATAACACTTGACATATATTCTATACAGCGATGCACACGTTATTATTAACTAGCTAAAAATAGCAGATGTATACAAAGCATATGGTGGCTCCATCCAGTAGTGAAACTCATCATCATTATATTCTGATAATAGTCCAAAATCAACGATTAGTCGGTTATTTAAAGGTTTTTAGATGATATATATAAGGAGTGTGTGGAATTATATATGTCATATCAACTAAAGGCCTTTTTAATAATGTAGAAAATTTAAATTACTAAGATGCGAACAACATTCATTCTCAAGATGCAACCTTTCTCGAACTTTTCAATCTGTGGTTCACGGAATTGAAACCCGGTACCGAACATGCTCGTTCTTTCAGTCGTATGGCATAATAATGTGAGGGTCAATTCAACTATTATTTGGTAAAAGAGTAACCGAAGATTTGGCGGTGAGTGCTGCTGGTCATATACCTCCCTTCTGGTCGGCAGTTTAAGATTAGGTTTAAAATAGAAAAAACAAAACAACAACAACAAAAAAACACCAGCTACAATGGTAAGAAAATCTAGGAAAACGTTAATTT